CCACCACCACCATTTACCCTTTCTCATGCAGGTTGTCTAAATCTCTCTGCAAACAGGCTCAACTCTGCCCAGAGGTGAGCAGAGTCCGTGGAGAGAGAAAGAAAATTAAAAATCAGTCCAACCTCCAATATTTAGAGACAGTTGTACCCCCACTTTTTAATAGACGAAGAAACTGAGGCCGAGGGAGGGAAAACAATACTTGTGAAAGACCACAGAGAAACCTGGTGAGACAGCTGAGGCCACACTGGAGTTCTCCTAGGGCCACATTCTCTCCTACACCCAGAAAAAGGTACCAACACTTCAACCTGAAGCCCCTTTTGCTTAGGTTAGACCACAGTCCCTTCTTATTGCAGCGGCTGCGCAATGCATTAATCTTCTGGGGACTTTAGAGATGCCATGCTGGGAGAGTGGGGCCCAGTGGTTGGAAAGGATGGAGGGGTGCAGAGGTGGGAGGGAGAGAGGAGTTGCAGCAGGCGGGCTCCAGGAACGGAGTTCAGCGGCGTCCTACCTCAAGATAACCAACAGGGGGCAGCCGGTACCGTCCAGCGGGGGAAGAAAAAGCTCAGGGTACCGCTCCGAGTTCTGCGCACACAGTGCTAACCCCTTGTGCACCGCAGCGTTCCCGGGAAGGGAGGGGAGGGGAAGGGTGGGTTGGAAAGACAAGGGAATCAGACTGGGCCTCCCTGGGAGGGTCTTCCCTTGGGTGGGAGGGAGACTAACGTTGGTATGTCAAGTCTTGAGAACAACTGATCCTTTACCACCACCACCACCACCCCACACACACGCAGGGCAAGAATCCACACACTCGGACACACGCCCCACTTTCTCGACTGCCTCTGGGTCGCTTCGCGCTCTCAGCTTTGCCCCCTGGTAGAGGCTGTCTAGAAAACAAATCTCTTGGTGATTCCGCAGTGAATGCGAATGTTGGTGAGCCAGCAAAAGAGCTGAGGAGGTGTGATCGCACAGCAGGGCCCAAGTTACTTCCAAACAACGAACTGTCCATTTAAAGAAAGACGAGAGAGAAGTGGCCCCGATGTTAGAGCGGGATTGGAAAGTAAAACAGGGCCGTTTTATTTTATTTTACCTTTTTTTTGTGGTGTTGGGGCGGGTTGGGGGGGGGGAGAGGGATGTTGTTTGCTTTTAGGCAACATCTTAATTCCAATTCTAACTTTATTCTCCAGAAAACTGAAAATGGGAAAGACGAAGAAGAATAGAAATAAGGATCTAAACTTGGAAGGCAGAAAGAGGAAAAGTTGTTTGGGGGAAAAGCAAAGTTATATTGTAGGAAGAAACGTTTAACTTTTCTTAAAAGTGAACTTTCGATGACCCTCGGAGTGTGTGACTCGGCTTTAACAGACAACTGACAATTAAAACAAACACGAGTTCACAAACTGGCCCCCGCCCGCTCTCCCAACGCGGAGGCCCAAGGGTTTCTAAAGAACCAGGCCGATTGCGCTCAGGGGGTCGGGGCGCGCTCTCTCAACCCACGGGATTAGAGCCACCAAGACCACTACTCCCCGCCCCCACCACCACTGCAAAGTGCCTGAGCTCACCCAGTGGCGGCTAATAATGCTAATAACGCGACCCTACTCCCCGCGCCGGGGTGCGCGCTGGCCCCCCGCCAGGCACTCTTAAAGGCACAGGGGCCTGTAACCTCCCTGTTAGTCGGCAGAGACTAGCCTGCAACCTGGCCTAGGTCGGGAGGGTGGGGGGTAGAGAATGCGCTTCTCTGAGTAGCTGGCCTCTAGTCCCATTGCCAGATCTCCCAACCAAAGAGTTCCCTTCCCCTTTCGAGCCCCTGCCACACACCCCCCTAGTGCCCGCGCAGTGGACGCTTAATAAATATCTGTTGAATTGAATCATTATCCTGTTCCTGAAATATATACACAGTAAACTACACTCGAGAATCTCAGGGTAAAAAGAAAGTCGTCCGTGAACTACTCTCAGTCTGTCTACCGTCGATCTTCCCCACTTTTTCTCCAAAGTTGAAAAGATTTGCAGAATGCTGGATGCGACGAGGTCTCTGGAGTACGCAGAGGCAGTAGCGGGAGCATTGGGGTAGGGGGTGAAGAGGTAGGAGACCCTGCCAGCGACACAGGAGTTCAGAGGGTTGAAGAAAGGGAGAAATAGGAAGAGATGGAAGGGACTCGGTTAACTTCCAAAACAAAAAGAAAAAAAAAGAAAAGAAAGAAAGAAAGAAAGAAAGAAAGAAAAGAAGAGAAGAAAAGAATGAGTGGCGAACGTCCGCGGCGCACAGAACACCTACCTTCATGGCGAGGGGGAGGGGGTGCGGGGAGGAAGTCGCCACCCGAGCGAGGGCAGCCAAGGAATCCAAGCGGAGCGGCCGGGTTAAGCCTAGGGGGACGATCTGGAGCAGGGCTGAGAAGTCCTACCGGGCGCGTCGGGTGGGCGCAATGAACCTGAGCCGAAGCGGGCACTGGCGCCCGGGCCTGGACTTCCGAGCTGGGGTAGCGCTGAGATGCGCCCAGGAATCGAGGGGGCGCGGAGGAGCTCGAGCCAGCAGCCGAAGCAGGGCCGCGCCGGGGCGCAAAGAGGGAGCCGCGGGTCCGGCGAGGGCGCGCAGACTACTGCTCCGCCGCGAGGCGCTCCCTCTCCAACGTCCATCAGCGACGGCGGTAATTAGGGCTTTCCAACCCCAAATGTGGGCGTGATTGTGCAAAAGACTTTACAACAAATAATAAAAAAAAATTCTTCACAAGAGAGTGAAAAAAAAAAAAACCCACTACTCAACTCTGGCCCGAGGCGGGGGAAGGGGGGCCGATCCCTGCGCCCAGGTGCCCCCAGTTCATTCACACCACGGATTCTGCAAACTTCTGGCGGCTCACGCCTCCTGATCTCCAGCTCCTCCTCTCTCGGTTTGTGGCCGAAACGTCTGCTTCCAGGGGCTGATCCTGCAGCCTAGTTAGAGTGCGGACGTCTGTGTACACACAGAGACACACACCCAAACACACACACCCACTGCAGCCTTGGGGCCACAGAACAATCAGGCGCGCATGGCTTTTTCTCCAGGAGATGCCGCTGAAAACGCACAAGTCGCCATCAGAGCTGCAAGAGTCGGAGCCAAATTTTGTCCTTTCATTTTAGGGTCTGGCAAAAAAAACGGGGCGCAAAAATGAGTGAAAGTCGTCCCCTAAACTTTCTGCCGCGCCGTTTGTTGAGAGGGCAATGGGAAATTGCCTCCGGAGAGACGCTGGCTTTTCCCTTTTCACCCCCTTCTTTCTCTCTTCGGGTTAATGTCCCTCTTTTCCCCGCCTTTCCAGGGCGAAGGCGAAAAGGAGCTAGGGCACCGCGGGCTCGGGGCTTGGGAGGAGAAAGAGCTCAGGGCTCCACATCGGCGACTCAGCTCCGGCGGTCCGTGGCCGGCAAGGCTGCCCACCTCCT